ATTACTACTAAAACAAAAATAAACAAACTAGGAAAGATACTAAATCGAATTCCAAAGGGATTCAGTTTCCTTGTTTGATCCGGCTTCCTTCTTCTGTCACCAACATGTAGAAATTGATAAGAGAGAAAATCTTTCTGTATATTGAATTGGCTTCAGAATACAAAGATCTAACCCTCTTTATATAGGAAGAGAGTAAAGCATATAAGTACACTTCTATTCCTACCATATTTCTATTACTACTAAAACAAGAAATAAACAAACTAGGAAAGATACTAAATCGAATCCCAAAGGGATTCAGTTTCCTTGTTTGATCCGGCTTCCTTCTTCTGTCACCAACACCCCCCTCAAACTGGAGCATAGGAGTTCAACATTCCCAGCTTGGACATCAAAAGATTGAACAAAGCAACAAAGCTTGAGGAAGCCGCTGCCATCGTTGTCCAAGTGTCATCTAGACACTTCAGTTTTTTTCTTCAACGGAGACGCCATGCTTTTTGAATCCGCCAAATAATCAATCGAGTAAAGGAACGCCATTCTTTTCGAACCTTCACCGCATTCGAACAAACAGGGGGGACGCCATTCTTTTCGAACACCCTGAATGCCGACTTTTTTTTATTGCCTGCTAAGGAAAGAGTTGTATGTCTCTGTAAAACAACCCTTCTCGGACAACTTCTTCAAGATTGATGGTTGGGCGGGATTCCTCGACAGCAATGTTTTTCGTTGAAGGAGTTCATGATATTCTTTAGTGAGGGAGAACAATCAAAGAAAATTAAAAATTACAATATCCCGCCGGTAGGCATTGAATTGTGTATGCCCACCGGCAGGGGAAGAAGCGTGTTTGAGGTCTCAAGAATTCAAAACTTGCTCTGATACCATGTAGAAATTAATAAGAGAGAATATAGTTTGTATATTGAATTGTTCTACTAATTACAAGGGGTTTCTCCTTTATTTATAGGAGAGGAAAAAGACCAAAACACAAAAGGAATTCTACTCCTACATGGAAACAAATCACTAAATATGAACTAGGAAATAAATCACTAAATATGAACTAGGAAACAAATCAAGAGCAATCCCACTTAGAATGGGATTTGCTTTCCTTCTTGCCGTGTGGTCCATGGAACACGGCCCAACAGTATTAATACCGTAAATGTTGAAAAATATAAATAGAGTGGAAATTTGTTTGGAAAGAAATTTTTTTTACTTTATTTAAAAAGAGGTGAATTGGGGCAATGGTTTTCCCGCCCATATTTTAGGCCATTACATATAGTAATGTTTAATTTACATGGTAAGTAATAAAAACCTATTAATTTCCATTCCAATAATATTTTATTTCATTAATAAATGGTATTAATACCGTAAATGTTGAAAAATATAAATAGAGTGGAAATTTGTTTGGAAAGAAAAAAATACTGTTTAAAAAAATATTAAAATTTTTGTTTAAAAATTTTAAATTTCCGTTTCAAGAGATGTTATGCCATTAAATATGGTAATTGTGATGTTTACACGGAAAGTAATAAAAGGCTATTAATACACACCAATCAAGGCTATAAATGTCGTATATTTGGAAAGAAAAACATTCTGTTTCAAAAATAATAAAAAAATTTTGTTTAAAATTTTTAAATTTCCGTTTCAAGAGATGTTATACCATTACATATGGTAATTGTTTAGTTTACATGGTAAGTAATAAAAGGCTATTGATTTCCGTGCCAATAATATTTTATTACGTAAATGCTCAACCCAATTTTTTTCACGCCAATAAAAAGGTATTAATACCGTAAATGTTGAAAAATATAAATAAAATGGAAATTTGTTTGGAAAGAAAATTTTTTGAAAAACATTAAAATATTCGTTTAAAAATTTTCAATTTCCTTTTCAAGAGATGTTATGTCATTACATAGGGTATTTGTGATGAATACATGGAAAGTAATAAAAGGCTATTAATACACGCCAATCAAGGCTATTAATACTGTAAATTTTGAAAGAAAAAAGTTCTGTTTCAAAAATAAAAACAATCCGTTTAAAATTTTTAAATTTATGTTTCAAGAGATGTTATGGCATTACATATGGTCATTGTTTAGTTTACATGCTAAGTAATAAAAAGCTATTAGTTTCTGTTCTAATAATAGTTTATTACGTAAATGTTCAACCCAATTTTTTTCACGCCAATAAAAGGGTATTAATCCGTTAAATGTTGAAAAATAAAAATAAAATGGAAATTTGTTTGGAAAGGAAAAAATTCTGTTTCAAAAATATAAAAAAATTAAAATTTTCATTCAAAAATTTTCAATTTTCGTTTCAAGAGATGTTATGCCATTACATATGGTAATTGTGATGTTTACATGGTATTAATAAAAGCCTATTAATACTTGACAATAAAGGCTATTAATACTGTACTTGTTCAAAAATAAAAATATAGTGGAAATTTGTTTTGAAAGAAAAACAAAAATTTGTTTCCAAAATAAAGGCAAAAAGGTAAGAATTACATATTCTAACCGTTAAAATATACTTACCTTTTCAAAACTCTCTTGAAAACAAAATGCTTACCGTTTCCAAAATAAAAAAACAATTTGTTTAAAAAATAAACCCTTACTACTATAATTACCTTTTATAATTACATACTATAAATACGGTCCTTTTGAGACCCTTCGTAGTAAGATAATTCAACGTGTGCTTTTATTCAGTGCTTCAACATCGCCTTTTCTACGAGCATGAGAATCTTAACCGCTTTAAAAAATGTTGATGAGAAGTCAGCGTTATTGATGATGAAACTAAGAGCGATAAGAGTTTATCACGTTCTTGCCCATTCTCGGGGGGCGGAATCATTGGATGTTATTTTTCACGACTCAGAGGTAGTAATTCATTATTTTATATTTTACATCTAAATCTTTAATAAAAAACTTTGAATTTAATTATATGTAAACATTTTCCATTTGTTGTTAGGGCGATCGAATCCATGTTCTTTATTTAGTGATGAGAGTCAAGGTATTGCGCAATTTCCAAAGTACAAAAACTACCTATCACCCTGTGCCACGCACGGGATCGAACAAATTTTTTGTTGATTTTGTGAATTATTTTCAATGTAATATTTTTAAATGAATTTATAAAAATATATGTAATACGTTCTTTAACACAATATACAATATAATCAAAGTAAGACAAATAATTTAGCATTTACTATTATTTTGTGATGAAAATGTCTATATATAAATTTAAAAGTAAAATCCATATTTTTTAAAAGTCTTTGGGGGATACAATATTTTTAGTGTGCTTGCAAGACTATCATTAACATCATTCGATACAAGAATTCCATTCAAGTTTCAGAGAAGACAATTCCCTATGGTTACTTCGTAAGCTATGACGATTAACAAGAGTCAGGGACAATCTCTAAAACATGTTGGATTATTGTTACGAAAACTGATGTTTAGTCATGGACAACTGTATGTTGTAGTTTCAAGAGAAACTAATCGTAGTGGATTGAATATTTTTTGATATGCAATGAAAACAATTTCCACAAACTGTACGAATAATGTAGTATACAAAGAAGTCTTTCGAAATTTGTAAAGCAACAATGTTTTGTATCGTAAAATAATATAATCTCTATATTCCATTACATATCATTTTTAGTATTAAAAATGATCTTAATTTAATGACGTAAAAATGACACGTGCAACACACTGGTGTAATACTAGTAAAGTATATATAATATTATATTATTTATTTTGTACTAATTATATGATAATTAAAGTTGACAAGATAAATGGGAATAATTCCTTATGATAGGGCTGAAATTAAGGTGCTTAGTGTGCAAGAAAGAGATATTTGGTTTCTTTCCTAAACCTTAAAAGGCACATTCTCGTTAAGAATGGGAATATGGATTATATTCCTTATAAATAGGAGATCATCCCTCCCCCTTTATGCGATAGAATTTTTTTCCCTCTCTCTTTTTTTGGAGATAATTTTGTTTTGTGTTCTCAATACTTTACTCCAAGTATTTTATATTTTAGAAAATATTCTAAGAAAAAATTATTAGCACAATTTTTCTTTAGAACACTTTTCATAGTTCGTGTGTCTAAACTAGAGGTCAGATACTTTTGTGGCTAGCTCTTAGACCAATCCCATCAATCATACGTCGTTGCTTGCTCACCAAAAAAATTATATTTTCTAACAATAACTTATAATATTCATAAGGAATCTTGGGTGGAAACAACGTTTGGACATTAAATTATGTTTTCTGCGGGCCTATCCAAGTTTGGTTTCCCAATAGTTTGTTTTTACGCTACGACTTCTTGCTGGTGACATGGACGTGCGTCAGACGTCGCCTCCACATTTAAAGCCTGGTGTGGATGTCGTTAGTAGTAGGTGACTTTGGAATGACCCGCCCGAGCCAGGGCGACTCCCTGTATATTCTTCACCTATCAGCCGGGAGTAGGTTCATCCACGTGTAGCCTGATGCACCGAGGGTTCATCAGGACACACTCTGGGATCTGTCCCTTTATTTTGGTAGAATTAAGTGTCTGATCCGCAATTGGGCTGTTGGGTCATGGCTCAGCTTTGAGTTGTCCCTCGTGATGGGTCTTTCCTCCAACAATGTTCGTTATAGCAAAAGATAGTTACATACTGCAAAAGTTTAATACGGAAATAAGCATGTACGTGTATAATACGTTAAAAATTTACAAAATACGTCTTATAATATGTTTCATACGTACAAAACGCATTTACGCATACGTACATGTATTAAACGTTTCCTAAATATAAAATATGTCTTATACTATGCACATATTTATTCACAAGAAAATTAATAATAAAGTAAATAAAAAATCAGAAATCATGCTTTAAGTTGAAATAAATCCAAAATAGTAAAGTGCTAGCATACAATCTTTATGTCAATAAAAAATAAAGTCTTAATCGAGCAAATGTTCAAAATGAAAAGTAGGATATAAAATCTAGAGCAACTACAAAATTATTCTAAAATATCAAATTCCGCAAAAACATCAGCATCATCACCATTGACATAAGTCTCACAAAAATTTACAAGTCCAGCATCATCCATACCATTGTCAATGTTAGGATCTTCCATTGAATTCTCACAAGCCTCATTTTTTATTACCATTAAGAATATGAGAGTATGACTCTACCTCTCCATTATCAGGTCATTCTCTCAACTTGCTCAAATCAATTAGATTGGAATCTTTAATCATCTTTTTCTCAGCATCTTGCATCATGAGTGTGTTCATCCTACAGTACACAAGAAGACCTAGCATGCCTAGAGTGAGTAGATTCCTTTTCTTTGTTTGAGCAACTTCAAAGGCACTCCAATTACGCTCACATGCAGATGAACTACAAGGCTGACTCAAAAGACGAATGGCGTATTTTTGTAGTACTTGTTGAGAGTCACCACAAAATTCCCACCAAATACCTTGTAAGAAACATATAGAATGAATAAATGATTAAAAATAACAATAATGTAAATGCTCATTAGTAAGAGAAATACCAAATGTGATGCATCAATTAATGACATCTACTTTTTTCAAGGGAATATAGTATTGAAGTTAACCTATATAACTTTATTCAAGTTTTAAAAAATAGTAATACAAGCAATTAAGCACACCATGAGAAGAATGCTTCATAATATAATCTCAATATTTCTATGAGAATTAAAAATAATTAAATCACTTACGAGGATGATATGTCGTCATCATATTGTATCTGTCATCATTGAATAGAGAGGAAGGCTTCATAGTATAATCTCGATATTGCATTATCAACTCCTTACTCCTTCCTGTCAACAGGCTGTATAACTTTTTCAAGCAAAGGAAACATGCATGTTTTCATCTCCACAGTTTGCTTAAAGTTCGTGTTACTAAAGAAAAATGGGTCGAGAGCAGCGATAAATGCATGAATAGGATCAATGATATTCTCTTTCCTTCTCGCATCAAATAATGTCAATATTTTCTCATATTTGCCTCTACTTTTTTCAACCCTTTTCTTGAGCTCATCCTTGGCCAACTCCATGTCTTGGTATAAATATCTAGAAGTAGAACTTTCACCATCAACTAAGCGAAGAATACGAAATAGTGGTTCTAATGCTTGTATCAATTCTTTTGCTTGAGACCACAAGACATCATTTTGGATGAGTCCAGTCACACAAATAGCCTCTCGTGACTTAGAACAAGACAAAGCTCTCCATTCTGGAGATGCCACAAACAATCGCAATTCATTCTAAAGACCAAGCGAAGACGGCACGACAAGAAAATTAGAAGCGGATCTAGTCGCACATGGCTTTTTCAATTCGTGTTCATTTGTAATTTTTCTCATCAAAGCAATAATAATAGTATGGCGATATATATATGCCTGAATAGATCTAGCATTATCAACAAAACTTTGAACCCAGGGAATTTGGTCATATATATCTTTAAAAAGCAATTGAATCCCATGTGCTGCAAACCTGTTGTAGCAAATCATAGCATACTTTTGCACAATCATATTCCCAGCAGAAACAAAGTTTGAACCATTATCGGTGATGAATTGAACAACGTGTTGAGGTCCTACCATATCATTGGCTTTAGAAGACAAATGACTTAAAAATAGTCCAGTTTTCTTATCTTCAGAAATCTCAACCGATTTTAGAAAAACTGAACCTTTAGGGCACGATGCAATAAAATTAATAAAGCATCTTCCTTTAAGATCAGTCCAAGTATCAGACATTATGGAACAACTCGAAACCTCCCATGATTTCTTTACTTCATCAACATATTCATCAACTTTTTTTTGCTCTTGGAATAAGTTTGGTCCTTAAAGTTGAATAGCTTGACAATTTATAGGCTGGTCCATAATCTACAATTCCTTTAACAAGATTGATGAATGACTTTTGTTGCACAACATTGAATGCAATATTATTTTGAATAAAAAACGTGGCAAGCAAGTATCTACATTACTCTTGTCCATTTTTTTAACCATTTCAGGCATGGTAGTCTGATATAATGAAGGATGAGATCGAAGACATCGTAGAACCACCCACTTTAAAGTTTGTTGTGCTAGATTCAACTCTAAGCCTTTTAGAGGTCTGCACAAGTGTTTCACACACCTGAGTTTCTATGTCTTTCGGAACTTGTGGGCAAATCTCAATTTCATTACCTTTTAATCCACACAAATGAAACTTCAATCTTGTTGAACCTCTAGAATATACTCGTTTAAAGTACTTGCATTCAAATTTACCATTCATATCGGTAGCATGTACCCAAAGTGGATCCTTCTTTCTAACCATGACTCTACAGAAATAAACCAAATTAGCTTAGCACTCAATTAATGAGTAATGGCCAGTTTGTATCAAAATTAAAAAATTCAAATTTTGCCACTCTATCACAAATTCACAACTCACAAGGGTGAGTGTGTGACTTAACAATTAATCTCGGCCACAAGTGTTAAGTCGCTAATTAGTAACAAACACAAACAAATTGCTAATTAGCTATTTATTAGCCACTTTTTTGGGGAATTAAGATTGGCAGATTGCTTTTAAATATGCAATTGAGAAATAGGGATTTGGGAGTTTGAGATAGTCCTACTTTGTACCCAAAGGCCAAAATCGCAGCAGAAATCCAGGAATTAGATGATAAAAAAACATGAAAAAAATATAGGGACTTACTGGTAAAAGTGGTAATCTGGTATGCCGCTGCTTAATGATCGGTCGCCGCCTCGCCGGTCGCTGCTGGTATCAGACCAAAGAGGAAGAGGAAATCGCCGGCGTCTCCTCGTATGTGGACACTTGTCAGCGGCAAATGGTCGATACTCGATAGAGATAAAGGTTGGAATTTGGATCGGGAAATAACAAAAGGGTTTTGAGCCGCCGTTGAGGTTGTGAATCGGGTTATCGGAAAAAAACGCAAAAAATTGCTCCGAGGTACATATTCGAAAATTGACTCGGGTTAACAATCCGTCATTCTCTCCTTTAATATTCCTTCTCCGTTATCCTCTTCTTCTTCTTCTTCTTCTTTTCTTCTTTTCTTCTTCTTCTTTTTCTTCTTTTCTTCGTTTCTTCTTCTTCTTCTCCTTCTTCTTCTTCTTTTCTTCTTTTCTTCTTCTTTCTCCTGCCTTCCAGTAACCTCCATTCCTCCCCCCCCCACCCCCGTTTTTTTTCTTCTTTAACCTTTTGTTTTGTTTTTTTTCTTCTTCTATTATAATTATTATTATTTGTTATTAATTATTATAATTACTTCATAATTATTATTTTCTCATTCTATTATTATTATTATTATTAATTTTTTAATTTATTATTATTACTATTATTATTAAAATTTAATTGTTAGTTTTACCACTCTTTTCTATAAAAACACTAATTGTTATTTAGAAAATAGCACTTATTATAAAATAGCACTTATTATTAATACTATTATTTATTTTAAGCAATTAATTAGTAATTTTACTTCTGTACTTTTTTATAAAAATACCACTAGTTATTATTATTACTTCTTATTAATTAATCCTCTGTTCTAGAGTATTTGTCTACTTTTGTTTTTTCGGTCAAAATTGATAAAATTTAACCCTAAATTAAAAAAATAATATTAAATATTTATACAAAAATAGTTTTATTAGATTTAATATATAAAATATTTTCAAAATATTACTTTATCGAATTAATAGGAGTACAATATATGTTTTATTTAATTATAGGTCAAAAATTAAAAACAGATGATTGAAAAAAGTCAAAACCTGACATATGCTCCGAGACAGGGATAATATTATGTATTTCCTATTATTTTCTTAATTATTATTAAAAATTAATTGCAGAGTAGTAATTATATTACTCTATTTTAAGAAATACGGAGTAACAATCATTATTATTTAGAAAAATAGTACTCCACATTAGTCATTGATAGTCGCCATTGGTAGTGGTGTCACGGTAAATCGAGAAAACAAGAGGACTTGAGAAAAGAATAAGATGAATAAGTACCTCTGGATTTTTGTAAAGATAATATGAAACAATAAAAATAGTGTTAAATTTAATAATATTATGAATTACGACGTATAATTTATAACCAAGTGAATAAATAATTTTAATTTTATAAATGATACATAAATATATTACTAAAATTAATTTTCAATTAAAGCTTTTGAGTAGTAAAACTAATAAAAAAAAGTTAGAGTAGTAAAAATACCAATTAAATAAAATAATAATAATAAATAATTATTATAATAATAAAAAATAATAAAATAACAAATAGAAGAAGAAGAAAAAACAAAACAAAAGGTAAAAGAAAAAAAACGAGGGTGGGGGGAGGAATGGAGGTCACACTGGAAGGCAGGAGAAAGAAGAAGAAAAGAAGAAGAAGAAGAAACGAAGAAAAGAAGAAAAGAAAAAGAAGAAGAAGAAGAAGAAGAAGAAAAGAAGAAGAAGAAGATAACGGAGAAGGAATATTAACGGAGAGAACGACGGAATGTCACTCTGCAGTCAGTTTTCAAATATCTTAAGGTACCTCGGAGTATATTTTGAAAAACAATGGGACCTGCGAGTTCTTAATACAAAATAAGGGGTACCCAGCAGCAATTTTTTGAAAAAAAACGTGTTTATACTGTTGGACTAAAAATAAGCTTATTTTAACGTATTTTATGAAATTATACGTATACGCAATTATAATACGTGTATTATACGTACGTAGTTATAATACGCGTATTATACACATTAACTGACTAGGATAGCAAATACTATAAATAAAAATAAATAAATCTTATAAAAACTGGATGACCACGTTAGAATGGGATTAGTATTTAGATATATACTCCGTAATAATTATTTTCATATTCGGAAATTAAAAATTTAATATAAAATTACAAAATTTTTAAAACAAATAATAAAAGTGTATACTCTCGTAATATAGATGATATGGTTTAAGTTGATGTTAAAAAATTACTCCCTCCATTTTTTAAGTGTTCCTATTTTGACTTTGTGTAAAAATAAGGAAGTGTTAAATTATAGTTGACTTCCAATTTTGCTCTTGATGTGATGAGTAAAAGTAAGATGTGTTGGATTGAGTATTAGAGAAAAAGTATGATGTGATAAGTAGGGTATGAAAAAGTAAGGGTAAAAGTGGTTTTTTAATAGAAAGTGGAAAGTTTTGTTGGAAGTAAAAAAAATGAAAGAGGAAGAGTTTTTGAGAACAGAGGGAGTAATAGTTAAAACACTATTGAGAAGCTACAATACTCCGTAACATTAAGAGGGTGTTTGGCAGTACGTTGCTTTTAGTAATTTAGCTTCTGCTTTGAGTGGAAGTGATTTTACTTTGATTGGCATGTTTCTGCTTTTCACCACCACTATTTTGTAAATAGAACACCGTTTTGGAGAAACAAATATGAGGTGCTTTTACTTTTAGCTTTTGTAGAAATCACTTTATCCACAAGTTAATCACTACTAAACACCCTCTAAGCGTTCCAAATTATAGCTTCTCCCTTGGAGATGCTCAACAATCAAACATATTTCATACGAATAGCATGTTTCAAGCTGGACTATTTTTGACATCAATTATACGAGTACAAAAATTATACCAAGAGTAATTTATAGTATTATTATAAAAATGACTTCATTAAATTTATCTTGTTGAAAACATTCAAAATTTTATTTCAATGTAATAATATCTAATATAAATCGAGAACAGGGAGAGTAATTTCCAGTAAAAAAGGTGTTCAATGCCAGACAGGGCCTAAGACTGGTTAATGCGGAGTTTGTATTTCGGACATTAAAGCTAATCGCATACTGCTAATCTAGTCAAACCAAAGACTTTTCAAATGCTGCTTCAAGTAAAATCTTCTTATCATCATGGGCCAGCATTGGGAGACCTACAACAGCTATAATGTCCAGCCGGTTCTATAGGACTCGACGGGATGGGGAGGCGATTGGAATCTGGCAAGAGAACTGTCTCAGTGATATGTGCAGATAGAGCAAGTGAAAGCCAGTGGCTTTAAATTCTGGTTCCTAGAAGAGATCAACTTTCTTCTTGAGCTGATCCTGTTTCCATTTAGGCAACTTATAGAAGGCTTCCTTTGGCATTTCAAGAATTGCCTCAAATTCTTCATCGGACAGATAAGCCTGAAAATCGACAGCAACACAAGAGTTGGAAACGATGAAGACAAATAATTTTTGTGGAAATATGAAAGCAGGCAGATATGAGTATAGAGCAACAAACTTCTCTTCGTTTAAAGTCGATCTCCGTGATGGGATTTTCAGATTTGGCCTTCAGCTGTTCATAACTGAATATGGGTAGATTACTTTCACTGTCATTGCCATCCTCCTGCTCTTCATCCTCTTCATTAGTCTCAACAGTAGATTCATCTGCATCTGGTTCCTTAACTTCAGAATCTTGTATGTCAGCACAAAACGTTTTCATTTTCTGTTCCAGCTGCAAAACATTTGCAAGCATGTCATAACCTCATCTCCTACCTCATAAAAAATTTTAAAAAAAAAACTAAAGAAAGAAAGGGACAGAAGCAGCAGAAAGTAGTTTTTGGTAATGTTTCATGCTTTGTGGTTTCTGTTCTTAAAAACTTTGTTTTCGTTTTATTTCCATTTTGTAGAAAAATGTAACCATGCTTGTTAGATGACTTAGATCTGTTTGGATATTTGAATATATGGTTTTATATTATTTATCACGGAAATATATGATGCATGGAGTATAAAAAAGATACTCCCTTCGTCCCGAACTAGATTACAATCTTTTTTTCTCTTCTCGGTAACTTTTGTTTATTTGTGTGTTTTCATTGAGTATCTGATAAAATAAAACATTCTCGTCACCTCTCGTTTTGTAGAATTTTTTATGTAGTTTTTTAATATGTAATCTTTATTTCTTATTGATGTACCCATTTGTAAATAAAATGATTTCAAAAGGCGGGAGATTTTGCCTAGTAACTCCCAATCTGTAATCAAATTAGGGACAAAGGGAGTATAAAAGTTTTGTAGGCAGCAGTGTGAAAATCAGAAACATACTTTCTAAAACAATAAAAAAACGAGAAAAATCTTAATTCCAATACTTAAGAAAATTCTGTTTTAATGCACTTGTATTTATGTACTCCCTCCGTCCAATAATAAAGTTCATGTTCATTATTCACAGGGTCAAACTTTATTCACTTTGTTGGCCTATTTTCGTGTCCTATTTGATAAAATAATATATAGTTATGTCACCTCTAGTTTTGTAGATCTTTTCATGTAGTTTTTAAATAGTAATTTTTATTTCTAATTCCATACCATTTTTCATATAAAATGATTTGAAAATAAATTCAGTCAAACATTGTAATGCGCAATGAGAACTTTATTTATGGATGGAGGGAATACATCACTATCACACACATTTCCTTGTTTCTATTTTCAGAATAGTGAAAATGAAAAAAAAATGTCAAAACATAGCTCAATATTGTTATAAAATGTGTGTTTATGTTTAATCATATAACTATATCAACTCCAATGACTGACATCACCATTAATCATTAAGATAAAACCCATCAACATAAAAAAGATGTAGGCCTTACCAGTAGGACTTGATTCTGCTGATGGACTTTTGATTGATATCTGCTTATTTTCAGCTGTAAGAACGGTAGATAAAGCAGCTATAGCAGCTGCCCTTTGTGATCCTTGAGCTACCCCTATTGGTCTTGGTGAAGAAGGTTTAGATGGAGAAGATGATGATGAACTAAATGCAGAGTTCAAAGCAGCTAAGGCTGAAGCCCTTTGTGTTGGCCCATCATGTTCAGACCTTTCCTGATTATGGAATCGAATTCAGAATTGAAAGATAAGAAATCATCCAAAATAGGAGCAAAACATAGACTTTATCCCCAAAATAAGAGTGACATGTTTTATCCGCAAAATAGAACTATTGCACTATGACAATGTGTCAGTGTATATTTGGGATAAAAACATGAAAACAATGTTTTATATGTTGGCATTATAGACATCGTAGGTCCTATTTTTGGGATAAAAACATGAAGATCCTATTTTGGTTCTTTCCTTATGTTTTATACTCCTATTTTTACCTCTCCCTTGAAAAAATTAATGCCAGGGTAAGAAAAATTAATGGCAGGGTATATTTTTTTTATTAAAGGGTGATTTTTAATGCATTCTAATAAAGGGTACAAGCTTGTCTAAAGAGATAACAGAGGAAATAGTCCTAGGGAGAGTATCTAAACGGTCAAAGGTAATAACATGGGAGTGCCAGGGTATATATATATATATATATATATATATATATATATATATATATATATATATATATATATATATATATATATATATATATATATATATATATATATATATATATATATATAGATATATATAGATTTTGGTTCAGGTGAGAATGCGATCTTATGAAAGAAATAAGAATGAATCTGGTGCTTTAGATTGTGAGATCTAAGGGTCAGGATTGCATCAAAATTAGGTGCATCAAAATGATTTGAAAATGCATCATGTCGAAATGCACCAAAATCCCTTAAAAAATGCACTATGTCAAAATCTGAGTGCAGGATGCAATCTGAGCCGCACGGTGCATCAAATCCTAAGGCTAGATTTTATTCTTATTTCTTTCACCAAGGTGCATTCTCACCTGAACCGGCCCCTATACATATATATATATATATATATATATATATATATATATATATATATATATATATATATATATATATATAT